GTTGGGAGGAACAATCGAGTGGAGGCACTTGCGAATGCAATGCACGCAGGCACGGCCAGCCCCAGCTTGCAGGTGCCCTCCCAAGGATCAGCCGTATATAGATCCGCATTCCTCTCCGTTTTCTCTTCTCCCTCACATCCACAACCAGCAGCTTTTACAACCAACAAGTCTTCTTCCCATCCTCACTTTTACTTTTAAGTAATACCAAACTCCAACACACACACAACCGCCGCCATGCGTTACTCATTCGCCATCTTCGCTGCCGTTGCCGCCGCTGCTCCCCAGGTTCAGCCCATCTCCCAGATCAGCGATGGTCAGATCCCAGGCTCCTCCCGCTACTCCTGCACCCAGGATACTCTGTCACTCAGTCTGCCATCGTCCCAGGCGTCACTCCCATCTCCAACCCCGTCTTGTCGGCCTCCGTTCCCGCTGTGACACCTCCCTGGTAAGCTTCCTTCTCATTCTCTTGTTTCGAAACCAAGCAATACTAACTCGACACCAGCGCCAGTTGTTCCTTCCGGCAACACTCCCGTCGCTCCCGTCCCCACTCTGAGCGCACCCATCGTCCCCGGTGTTAACTCCACCGTCCCATCTGCTGGCACTGGCATCGCCTCCAAGGCCTCATCCGCTCTTGCATCTGCCACATCCGGTGCTGCATCTGCCTCTGGCAGCTCGCCTGCCCAGGCCACCGGTGCCGCCGGCAGCAACTTCGTTAGCTTCGGTGGCCTCATGGTTGCCGTCGGTGCCGCTATGCTCGCATAAGCGTGTCGCTCACGGGATCGAGTCTTTGCTTTGCACACCACGGCGTTAATACGACCGCATCGAAAACCTCTGCGGCTTAATACCTTTTGTTTCTTTGACAATACCACCGGGCGGCAATGGGCATCACGGGGTATCTAATGCGATCATGGTCTTTTGATGACACATGAGGATCACTTTGTGTACATGGTTAGATAGTTCTTCACATGAATTGAATTGAACATCATTGGCACCCGAGAGGGACTGCCTTTCAAACTTGCCTGTTCTCTCTTGTTCATGACTCACCGCTTGTATATTGCCATCCGTTCTGGATAGTAGGCTCATTTACATTGTACATTGGTGGCGTCCAGACCGTTGAACGTTGCTGCGGCTCGGAACACTAGGCGCTGTAGTGTACCTGACGATCGCGGCATCTGGGCTTACGTGCAGCGCCTAGAGGCCCGGCGATAGCTTCTGTCGCAGCACGACGCGACTGACTGACCCAGCGATTTCTTTGTGCCAGGTCGCTTGCGATTTCGAAGACTATACCATACGACATCGTTTCGCGCAATGAAATCAATGCGCGATGGCTATTGCTGGGTACTTTCGCTCAACCGATTCTCACCCTTTTTTCTTCTTTTCCGCCACCACCACCAAAACGCGCGTTGCTTGCGCACGCAGCTCGCTACGGGCTAAAACGAAAATTGGAAAAATCCGCGTGCTGCATTAGCGAATACAGGTACGTTATGCAGGCGGGCCCTGGGACTAGAGAAGCGATGGGCTTTTACGTACGGGCGAGAGAATTCTCGTCTGCGTCTGTTGAGTTATTGAATTTTGGGTGGGGTGGGGTGGAGTGGCATGAATGTTTGGTTTGGGGTGTCTTGTTTCGTTTCGTTTCGTTTCGTTTCGATCCCGAGTGTGATGGATGGGTTTGTGAGTGGATGAGTGAGTGGGGTGGGTGGGTCTGACATGTGGTGATTTGGAAGTGAGGAAACACGTGGAGATGGATGGATGCATGTATGTGGTATCAAACATTGATTTGAACTCATCTATTTTCTGCTTTCAAGTCTATATCTCCCTGAAAGCCACTTCCTCCGGCAGCCTAAAGCTCGCGCAAAACATGCGCTTCTTGGGCGCCACATCGCGCACATCATGGATATTGACATCGGGTGTTTCTGGCGTCATCTCGCACTGCAGCTGTCGCGATATCTCGGCGCATATCTCTTTCGTCTCGGCGACGTTGTCGTCGCTCTTGGTGCTGAAGCAGTGCACGTGGATCATGGGGAGCTTCTGCTGCGTGTGTGGCGCGAAGAGCTTCTTGGCCTCGCCGATGGACAGGCCGGGGATGTTGGAGTACAAGCCGATGAAGGAGGGGAGGAAGGTGATTGCGGACGCGGGCAGGTTCATGACGTAGTGCTGGAACGTGCGTGGTTGGACGAGTGTCCTGTCAGGCACTGGTTTCTGCGTTGGTGGTGCGCTTCTCGAGAATTTGACCTTGGGGTATATTGGGATCGAGCGTTCGCTCTTGAGCAGGTCGATTGCCGACTGTCGAATGAAGTCTGCGCCATCGGTGTTGCGCGGCGTCACAAAGTCTCCCACTTTGTTGATGCGGATGTTGTCCTCCAGCGACTTGTAGCTCTCGGGGTTGAGGTCGTTGGCCCATACGAAGCACTTCTTCTTTCCCGCAGGTATGGCGAAGGGTCCCACGCCGGCCATGATCGTCGCATATTGCCTCGCCTTCGTGGGAACAGGTTGCAGAGCCGCTCGTGTTCAGTGTGCAGTCTTGTGTTCCAGTAAACCTTTGCAAAGTCGAACTTGAACGTGCAGCCCTGTTCGCGCAGCTCAACATTCATGTCGTCGGGCCCATGCAGAACTTCGTATTGAAACGTGCGGAAAGCATTTTCTGTTCCGACGTTGTCCAGCTTGTTGATGACTGTCTTGACCATGGGGTTCTTGTCCGCCAGCACGTCTGCGATGAGGTATTTGTACGGCCAGTATCGCTCGCGCAGGTTCAAGTGCGCAACATGGCCCGCCAGCGCGAAGCCCTGGGGTATCTCGTCATCCTGCTTCGTCTCGGGCGGCGGTATTATGGCGCTCGTGATCTCCGAGTATGTGAAGAAATCGTAGTCGAGGTCGAGCTGGAAGGGTATGACGCCCAGGGTGCCGTCTTGTTCGAGGTCGCGCAGCTTAGGGCTCCACGTGGTGCGATCTGCCTGTTGTTCAGACTCAGCATGTCAGGACGTCGCGTGCAGTGCCAGACGTACCGTTGTGAACCACCTCTGGCCGCAGCACCAAGCATTTGCCGCCCTTCTGCGCCCTCTCCGAATCCACGTCCGGCCTGATCGGGTCCACGCGATTGTTGGGGAGGGTGTCGCGGCTGGCAGTAAGCTCTTTGCGGCATCGCGAGATGTCTTTGGCGTTGAAGATGCGGGCAGCGGAGGTGGGGATCGTCTTCTTGAAGAAGCTGCGATCCAGCACCTTCATGGCACGCGCCGCCGGGGGAGCAAACATGTCGTCGGTGGACATTGACGGTGTCTTGGCCGTAGGATAACTTTTGCGGCTGCGCTCGTGCTTGCTGGTTATTTTCGTTTTTCCGTGGTCGCGGAGCTGGTATGACGCAGGGTCCGATCTCAGGCACCGAATGCGTGGCTCCTGTCCCTCAACACCTGTCTGGTCGAGATTGGCGCAAACACTCTCCTACCCGTCTCCGAGCCGTCTGACCGTGTTTCTGGTGCTTCTGCAGTTCTGACTCTTCCTCGAGCTACCAAAGTGGGGTCAGGGTCGACTGCACGCGGGCTTGCCAGGATTAGCCTTACGGGAGTGCATGCATGACCGCGGCAAGGATCTCAAGAAATTGGCCTCGCGCGCGACTCAATAACACAACACAACACCCTCCTGAACCCTTGGACCCTTTCCACCACCAGCCCGACGTGACATGACGACGTGCGCGCATGCTGTAGTAATATAGACCGCGAACTGGCCGCTCTTCTCTACACGTTCCCGCGACCCTGAACGGGAACTATTCCGCCGCATCCACCATGGCATCTGGAGGAGGGAATATCAAGGTCGTGGTGCGATGTAGGCCCTTCAACGGCCGAGGTAGGACAGCCAGACATCATACCAAAGGCCTCCAACTAATCTTCTCCAGAAATCGACCGCAGAGCACAATGTATCGTGCAAATGAAGGGCGACCAGACCATCCTCTCACCCCCCAAAAACGTCGATGTCAAGGGAAAAGCCGCCAAAGCCGCCTCAGAGGGCACCAAAACCTTCGCTTTCGACAAGTCGTACTGGTCGTTTGACAAGAGTGATCCGAACTATGCCGGGCAGGATAATCTACACGAGGATCTGGGGAAGCCGCTGCTCGAC